TTTTTACAGTTAATATTTGCAGGCTGCCTTTCAGGATAGAATTCCTTCCAAGGTGGCTTACAGTTAAGATAAAGGCCTGCTAATAAATCATTTATATTTCAAATGATACCAATTTTTATGCAGGGAAAACTCATTCAAGAATGGCAAATACAACTGAATACATGTACTTGTAATGGGAAAAACTCAAGGATCAGATTTAAGTCTTACAAGAAGAAAAAAGAGGGGGGAGGCCTTGCAGTACCTAATATTAAATTATATTACTATGTGGCTAGTTTGGTTTGGATTAAAGATTGGATTAGAAATCCTAATGAGAGGCTACTAAAATGAGAAACAACAGATTTGGAAGAAGAAATACACAGTTACCTATGGACTAAGGATTCTACCAAAAAGGCTCTAATACCAAACAATAGTCATATAAGAGATGGTCTCATTAAAATTTGGTATTCCTTAAGAAGAAGTAGTCCTTCTATTTTTTCTCCAATTTAAGCATATTATGTTAAGTATTTAAGGAAAAGTAAGGTGGCGCAGTGGTTTAAACCACTGTGCTGTTGGGCTGGTTGATCGAAAGGTCACCAGTTCGAATCTGCACAACGGGGTGAGTTCCCGTTGCTCTGTCCCAGCTCCTGCCAACCCTGCAGTTCGAAAGCATGGAAATGCAAGTAGATAAAAAGGTATTCAGGCTGCTTGTGTGTCGAATCCGATGCATGCGTACTTAACACTGGTTGTGATGGCACTGCTCAGCTTGTGGTGCTGCTCGGCTTGTGATTGGTCGTGTGGTCGCGCGCTGAGCTTACTGTGGGCAGCGACTGTTATGTTTTGTTACACAACTGACGTGTGTGGGTGTGTGTACAGTGACTGATTACGTGTGAAAGGTAAATAATTTCATGAGTTCCAGCACCTTTTTTTCTTACAAAAAAAGCACTGATAAATTGAATGCAGAATTTTCAAGAAGAAATACTATTCTGTCAATGGAAAACCTTATGGACAAAGGATATACAATTTACAGTTAGTCAAACATTGAGAGAAAACTGGTACAAGATGTTTTTCTGTTGGTATATTACTGCAAAAAATATACAGAAAATGGATAAGAATTACATAGGAAAGTGTTAGAAATGTAAAGAAGTCGACAAAACTTTCTATCATAGGTGTTGATCATGTGACAAAATAAAAAAATGAGAAGAAATACATGTGGAAATACAGACAATTTTGAAAATTATTTTTTCCCATGGCTACTAAGACTATGTTGCTGAGCTTGTACCAGAAACTCTGCCAAAGAATATAGTAATTCAAATATTTGGTAACTGCAGCCCAAGTCATAATTGCTTCAAAATGGAAAGCAGAAGATCACCCAGCTATTGAGGACTGGAAAAATAAATTAACCAACTATGCAGTAATTACAAAATTGACTAATTGTGTAAATAGAAAACTAGCAAAAGAATTCAATGATAAATGGAAACTCTACTATGCACAACTTACTTTATAATGGGGATAATAGAAAAATATGAACAGAGTGGAATAATTTCCGAGGTAACATTTAACCTAATGCTTCAGTATTATAGTAAGGAGAGTTATATAAATGGAATAGAATTCTTGAAAATATTGATAGAGATTGACTCCTGTACTGATGTTTTATTGTTATAGTAAGTTCACTTAAAATGAACAGAGCTATTTAAGTACATGATAATTGTGGCTAGAATTAAAACTGTTTTAAAATGGAAAGCAGAACAAATATAATTATTGAAGACTGGAAAAATAAGTTAATTGCCTATGTAGTAATGGTAAGACCAGGGCTTTGTTTGTCATAGAACGCACCAGAACTGTGATCCGGCACCTTTTTTTCAATGGATTTTACGAAGTGATTTTGAATCTTGAATCGAAGCAGATCAGCAGCAAACATCATTAACATAGTGCCTGCAGGCTGCTATTGTGTCTGCTATCTGCTATCTGATAGTGGGAGATAGCTGCTTGGGATTGGTGTGTGATTCCGGCACCTTTTTTTTTTTTACAAAAAAAGCATTGGGTAGGACTAACTAGGAACGTAGAAAGATAACCAAAGAAATTAAGTGGTAACTATATTACACACAACTTTTTAATGGGACTAACAATGGAAAAATACAAGTAAAAAGAAACAGAATTTTTGAGAAAATTGCTTGAGATCAGAAGAATCTGCAATGAATTTTAATTAAGTGTTAAAAATGTGATTGTGTAAAACGGATAGTAATTGTTGATTTACAGCAATTTTTAAAATTACATGATGTTCTATGTAATATTTAAGAACTCTTAGTGTTTCTTTGTAAAAAATCAAATCACAACAATATTTAAACAACACACAAATAAAGAAATTTTCAAAAGGAAGATTTAAGCACAGCAGCTAGTTAAAAAGGCCTTGTGAGTAAAAAGGGATAATTGCTCCACTGAAGCAAGGGCTGGAAGGGGTCTCCGTCCTGCCTGGCTCTCCTCTGGAAGGGAGGCTACAAACCAGGGCTAAGCTCCCTTTCCTTCCCTATGTTGGGAGAACTGTAGTATTTCAGAGGTTGTTGACTGAAGGCTAGTGACTTTTTTCCCCAAACAGTGAAAAACCAAGGTTCAACTTTCTGATTTGATAGCTGTGCCTATTTTCACAGAGACATATGAACAGACACAACTACTTAGTGATGACTGAAATGTTCTCTACTCATGGAGTATTTCCAGAATAGGCTTGTATCATGCAACTACCCTGCCCTGCCCCATTCACAGAATTCTATGCACATGTGTGGTCTGGACAATGTTATCTTTCACTTGTAACCTTCTCTTGCTGCTCACCCCTTTGCTTTTGTTTCCACAAAAAATCTGTTAGGGATGAGAAAAACGAAATAGCTACTGACGGAATCTCGGTTTTCAGTTTGTGAGGAAATAAAAACTTGGGTCCGTGGGAAAGATCAAATGTTTGAACTTCTGCTGCTTTATTGACCAGTGCCCCAGTACCCTGCAGTCAGTCACGATACGTAATGTATTACGGGGTAGAGGGAAACTCAACTACAAAATCACAGCCCATGTACAGACACTTTTAAAACGTGCTAGTCAGGTGCACCAATACAGAGTGTTAAGTTTCCGGGTAATCTTAGCACAAGAGCATCCTGATGCCTTTAAGGCATGACATAATGTTCTAAAGTTTAAACTGATCAGAAATACTGGTAACAATAGTATGGAAAACAGTACTGATTGCTGTATTGATAGATCAGTCTAGCACAGGGGTCTCAAACTCGCGGCCCGTGGGCCCATTGCCGGGACGGGCAGGAGACGGGGGGAGAGGCCCTGCGGCCTTCAAAGTGCCACTGGCCTCCGGGAGCCACACGGGATGAGCAGCCCACCACCACCGCGGGGGTGGAATACTTGATGCGGCCCAGCCTCACCCAGACTCTACTTCCAGCGGCTCCCAGGGACGTTGAGTTTGAGACCCCTGGTCTAGCAAATCCTTGACAGTTCAGGTCAGCCAGCATGTCTGTCTGTTTAAACATGCAAATATCTCTGATGGAGGAGCCATTCAGGAAGTCTGGTTTGACAACTACACTCAGGCTTGCCTCAGTGGGACTTAGGTGGGCCCATTCAGAAGCAAATTGGTACCATCTGTTTCAGTTCTTCCACAGGTATTTGTCTGCAGCTAATAATGGCATCATCTTAAGGCAACAGCAACTCCAAACAGCAACCTGGCTGGGAATTCTGCTGCTTTGTGAGAAAGAGTGTATATTTGATTTTATAACACAAAGGCACATATAAGCAACATTTTTCTATGAGGATTTATTTGAAATTTCCCAACACTACACAATGCATTTTGACTGGTAGAACTGGGAGCCTTCTCTCTGGAAGCACCCAAAATCAGAGAGAAAAAAACTAATTTACTTAATAATTATTTATTTTTATGCTGACACATTTTCTGTGTATTCAGAACACTTCCTGGGGCCGAATCCTGACTCAGATGAAATCCCTAAACGATTGCTTTCATATAAACAGGGCTCATTTAGAGACATTCCCTTGTTCAGTAACTCAGGCCACTGTCAGATCCCTGTTTATCTGTAGTAGATTCTGAATTTCATATGTCACTGCAGCATATCCATTTTAATAATCTTTTGTTGCTTATCCTGTCAGTTTCCAAAGCATAGACAATTCAGGGGCCTTTGTTTTCTCTATGATTCTGTCATTGATGGACTCTTGCTTATAAAAATAAATCTGAGACTGAACTAAATTTAAAGCAGTTTCCTGCGTGAACAACCACAAAAAGATCAGGTTCATTTCCTAAGAAACTCCCACTTTCTTTCCTATAACTACAGATGGCATCTCTTTAGTAGATGCTTTTTTCCTCATATCTAGCAGACTTCAGCTAGACATTGTGGACAAAATGTCCTCATTGAGTAAAACCATAATATTTACAGCAGAAAGTGTGGTTTTGTTTTTGTTTTCAACAGGTAGCTTAGCCCCCTAATGTCCCTTTCCACAACAACTGAAATATTGTCTCTGGTAAAATTATATTGCAGGAGCTCTTTGATGTGTGTGCAAAGTAAAAGTAGCTCTGCTGGCTAAGAACTACAGGAAAAATGACATGTAGTTTCCTAAAACTGGAAATGGAAAATGGATAGGCTACAGAAACAGTCTAAGTAAGTGGGAAAACCGCAGGTGCTTCCCGAGCGCTGGAAGCCCTCCCTCCGTCTGGAAGGACCCCGAGCCCCGCCGGACCTCGAAGCTGCGCGGCGACGGCGCAGGCACTTCCGCCTTCTTCCTCTCTGCCTCTTCCCAGCCTGGCAGGAGAGCCGAGAGGGAGGAGCAGCCGACGCCGCACCTGGCAACCGCGCGCCGCAGGCAGGCTCAGCCGATGCTAAGAGGCCCGGGAGCACCGAGGTCTCGCGGGATTTGACTCCCCCGTGCGGTCCCCATTCCCGCGGCGGGCGGGACGCGAGAGAGGCGAAGCTGCGGCGCCGAGGCGGCCGGTGGCTGTTGTGGGCGGCGCCGCAGCGGCCACTTCGGGCGCCTGGGGAAGTTTCGTCTCCTTCCCGCTTCCTCCGCGCTTTACGCGCTGCCGATGGAGGAGCCGGCGCGTCCGGCTTGAGCTCGCCTTCTGGAAGGGGCGGCCCGGACGGCTGAGAGGCGGCAGCACAGGCGCCTACCGTCTCGCAGCCCAGCATGGGTAAGCGGGGGAGCGATGGGGAGCGGGGCCACGTCGGCGGTGCGCGGGTGCGGGGGAGGGGGCGACGGCAGGACGGCGCTCTCTCGTTCCTCTGCCCAGTCTCCTGAAGTGGCGGCTGGGTCGCTCGTCTATGGCTGCTTGTCGCAGCCTGCGGAATGTCCCGGCGGTAAGCGCTTTCGCATCCTTTAACATCTCAAATCAAGGCCGGGGCACTGGATGCGTTAAGTGGGGAAATCGCTTTTTTGCTTCCTTCGTGGACCTCCGCACTGCAGTCCTCACCAGTCCCACCTGTCCTTCGCTACCTACTGGACTGGTCTACATGAGTCCCGCCAGTTTAGGTTTTATAGATTGGCACAAGCTTCCACCTCCGCACAAACACCATCCAGGCTGCAAAGAAGGTGGGAATAATGGGCTTGGTTGGTTCCGCCCTCGTAAAGACATGGAAGATATAATCTAGTCTGCGGGCAACTTGATTTTCCTTTTCTCCCAGTGTTTTTTTCTTTTTTCAGGCTATCCTCTCCGTCTTTTGTAATTATGTGGGCCGGTAGGATACTAACTATGCTTCCTCTTAAATTAGAACTCAGAATAGAATATTGGTCTGTTTCAGACCTTTTTCTGTTCCTAGATTTTTGAAGTTAGCAAGAAGTGTGTATCCTACTCGCTGATGATCATTGTACGGGGACAAGAAAATATGTTCTTCCTCTTCCAATTTTGTTACTGAGGGAGTAAATAACATGTCAAATGTCTTTACTATTGTTATGATCAGTTTTTGTGTCTATCTTTAAAGCATGTTTGGACTACTGAGTACTGTGCAATGTAACAAGTATAGGCAATGCAATAATTGGAGGAATAATTTGCTTTATATGACCTAAGTCTTGTTTTTGTTATTAATTAGCAGTTGCTCCTCAGCAGGCATTGGCTTCTGTTGTGTGGAAATAATACAGTTACATGAATTGAATGTTTGCTTCATAATGTTTCAGTATTATTATATTTCATTATTATTTCATTGCTTCAGTATTTCATTAAGGACTCAATCCTATGGACTGCCTTTGCCACTGGGAAGCCCTTGAACTTAGGACATCTGAGACTCCTATGTCCTCCTGGCCTGAAGCTGGCAAGGTGGGAAGAGCCTGATCTTTGCTTTTCACTCCTCTCAACTCCTGTATTTTTGCTAGATGAGCTTTTAAACTTATCTAGTAAGGGCACTTTGGAGTTGGGAGTGGAGGAGGCTCTTCGCATTTACCAGCACCCCCCCTTCCTCTGAGTTGCTGCTGGAGAGGCAGCAGGCCTATTTCCTTCTATATTCTCTACCAGAGGTGGGTCTGGGGTTAGCTCTTTGACTCCCCTTTCTAAGGGCTTTGCTGAGTTACCATATTTTTCTGACTATAAGACACCCCCATGTATAGGACGCCCCCCACTTTTTACTGATCTCTGAGCGAGCAAGCTGCTGCTGCGCGCATGTGCCCGCCACCTCCCTGCATGTGTGCGCCAGCACCAGTCTCCCCCCCCATCGCGCCCGCACCAGCCTCCCCCACCCAGCGCGTCCGTGCCCGCCTCCCCCCCCCAGTGCGCCTGTGGTTCTCCTTTTGGCCCCCTGTGTATAAGACACCCCTACATTTTTATGTAAATATTTTAAAGAAGTAGTATCATCTTATACACAGAAAAATATGGTATCCTGTGGCTGCTGGATTGCTGTCTCCAACCCACTCCCATGAAGCATGGTTGCCTATGGGCATGTTCTAAATTTGACTACGTGTACATTGATTAGGATTAGTACAACCCTAAAATTATAGCCCAAGATACGGTATAGATGATCATGTAGTGCAGCTACTGTGTACCTCACTACTTATTGATAATACAAAGCATTTCCTTGTACTTTTATATTGTCTGCAAATATACTCCTTTCTTCTGCAAGGTAATTCTTTCCAAGAATTCCTTTGTCAGTTGTCTCTTGCATAATATCAACTACATTTGTTCAGTGCTAACTACAAAGACACAACTTTCTGATGCAGATATTGTCACATTTAGTAGTACCTACATAAGTGCTCCTCTAGAGCACTTGTGGTTTTGCTATAAGAGATGGCTGGGGCAACCTACCTGTGTGCCTGTTTCTGTACACTAATCACATATATAATAGTGGGCTAATACAGCTGAAACTTACTCTGAGTTAAAAAGTGTGTTTGGATGCATATATTTGCTCAGGCTCATGGAAATGGCTATGTTGCTTGTTGCTAGTCATGACTCCATGGACAACATTCTTCCAGGCCTTCCTGTCCTCCACCATCTCCCGGAGTCCACTTAAGCTCACACAGACTGCTTCAGTGATTCCATCTAGCCACCTCATCCTCTGCCGTCCCCTTCTTCTTTTGCCATCTATTGTTCCCAGCATTAGGATCATCTCCAGGCAGTCCTTCCTTCTCATTAGGTGGCCAAAGTATTTGAGTTTCATCTTCAGTATCTGGACTTCTAAAGAGCAGTCAGGGTCGATATCTCCTCTAGGACTCGCAGGAGTCTTCTCCGTCACCCCAACTCAAAGGCCTCAATCCTTTGGTGCTCAGCCTTATGGTCCAGCTTTCACAGCCATACATTGCAACAGGGAAAACCATAGCCTTGACTATACATAGTTTTGTCAACAGGGTGATGTCTGTTTTTAGTATGCTGTCTAGATTTGCCATAGCTTTCCTCCCCAGGAGCAAGCGTCTTTTAATTTCTTGGTTGCAGTCCCTGTCTGCAGTGATCTTGGAGCCCAGGAAAATAAAATCTGTCACTACCTCCATTTCTTCCCCATCTATCTGCCAGGAAGTGATAAGACCGGATGCCATGAGCTTAGTTCTCTTAATGTTGAGTTTCAAGCCAACTTTTGCACTCTCCTCCTTCACCTGCATCGAGAGGCTCTTTATTTCCTCTTCACCTTCTGCCATTAGAGTGGTATCATCTGCATATCTGAGGTTGTTGATATTTCTCCCAGCAATCTTAATTCCAACTTGTGATTCATCTAGCCCCGCCTTTCTCATGATGTGCTCTGCATACAAGTTAAATAGGCAGGGCAGCAATATACAGCCTTGCCGAACTGCTTTCTCAATTTTGAACCAATCAGTGGTTCCATGTCCATTTCTCACTGTTGCTTCTTGACCCGCCTATAGGTTTCTCAAGAGACAAAGAAGATGGTCTGGTACTCCCATCTCTTTAAGAACTTACCACAATTTGTTGTGATCCACACAGTCAAAGGCTTTAGCATAGTCAATGAAGCAGAAGTAGATGTTTTTCTAGAACTCCCTAGCTTTTTCCATGATCCAGCGTATGTTAACAATTTGATCTCTAGTTCCTCTGCCTCTTTGAAACCCTGCCGGTACTTCTGGTAGTTCTTGGTCCACAGACTGCTGGAGCCCAGCTTGTAGGATTTTGAGCATTACTTTGCTAGCATGTGAAGTGAGTGTAATGGTGTGGTAGTTTGAACGTTCTTTGGCATTGCCCTTCTTTGGGATGGGAATATAAACTGACCTTTTCCAATCCTGTGGCCACTGTTCAGTTTTCCAACTGTGCTGGCATATTGAGTGTAGCACTTTTACTGCATCGTCTTTTAGGATTTTGAATAGCTCACCTGGAATACTGTCTCCTCCACTAACTTTGTTGTTGCTCAGACTTCCTAAGACCCACATGACTTCACAAATTCTGCTGGAATTCTGCATTCAATTGTGTATATCTTTCTCTTTCTCCCTTGCCTTTTGCTTCCCTTCTTTCCTCAGCTATTTGTAAAGCTTCCTCAGACACCCATTTTGCTTTCTTGCATTTCTTTTTCTTTGGGATGGTTTTAGTTGCTACCTCTTGTACAATGTTGCGAACCTCCATCCATAGTTCTTCAGGCACTCTGTCTATCAGAACCAATTCCTTATATCTATTTGTCACCTCTACTGTATATTCATTAGGGATATGATTTAGGTCATACCTGAGTGGCCTAATGCTTTTCCCTACTTTCTTCAATTTAAGCCTAAACTTTGCAACAAGAAGCTCATGATCTGAGCCACAGTCAGTTCCTGGTCTTGTTTTTACTGACTGTATAGAGCTTCTCCATCTTTGGCTGCAGATCACATAGTCAAGCTGATTTCTGTGTTGATCATCTGGTGATGTCCATGTGCAGAGTCGTCTCTTGGGTTGTTGGAAAAGAGTGTTTGCTATGACCATCGTGTTCTCTTGATAAAATTCTACCAGCCTGTGCCCTGCTTCATTTTGTACTCCAAGGCCAAACTTGCCTGTTATTCCAGGTATCTTTTGGCTTCCTACTTTAGCATTCCAATCCCCCATGATGATAAGGACATCATTTTTTGGTGTTAATTCTAGAAGGTGTTGTAGGCCTTCATAGAACCGGTCAACTTCAGCCTCTTCAGCATCAGTGGTTGGGGCACAGACTTGGACTACTGTGATGTTGAATGTTTTGCCTTGGATTCGAACTGAGATCATTCTGTCATTTTGGAGATTGTATCCCAGTACTGCTTTTCCTACTGTTTTATTGACTATGAAGGCTACTCCATTTCTTCAGAGGGATTCTTGCCCACAGTAGTATACCTGATGGTCATCTGAATTAAATTCCCCCATTCCTGTGCATTTTAGTTCACTGATTCCTATGATGTCAATGTTCAGTCTTGTCTTCTCTTGTTTGACCACGTCCAGCTTGCCTTGATTCATGGATCTTACATTCCAGGTCCCTATGGAGTATAGATCTTTGCAGCATCGGACTCTCCTTTCACCACCAGATACATCTGCAACTGAGTGTCCTTTCGGCTTTGACCCAGTCACTTCATTCTTTCTGGTGCTACTAGTACTAGCCCTCTGCTCTTCCCCAGTAGCATATTGGACACCTTCCGACCTGAGGGGCTCATCTTCCAGTGTCATATCTTTTTGCCTTTTGGTACTGTCTATGGGGTTTTCATAGCAAGGATACTGGAGTGGGTTGCCATTTCCTTCTCCAGTGGATCACATTTTGTCAGAGCTCTCTGCTATAA